CCAAACGCACCCTTAGTTTCTCCAGCTTTTCTTCTTTTGTGAGGTGTTTTTCCTATTTACATGAGATAGTGGTTCTTATTGTTCTCTCCATGTAATTTAGAGAGAAGGTTGTAGTCATTATTTTTCATAGTGAAATCCTTTTATATTTGTCTCGTGGTTTTTACCCCGTTTCTTTTGGAGTTTTTCACGTAAAATACTATATATCCATATTATCTTATTTTAACTCATTTCTTATTTTATCCAACACATTTAAGGGCTCTCTTTTTGGATTCTATGACAATTGAGAGCTTTTCTGTCTATTGGCAAGCCATTGAACTGTTCTTCTTGCAATAGGCAGCCAAACTCTTCGTATTCTTTCCTCTTTCACATTGTTTTCAAACAAAGATGACTCTCTAAACCTATTCTTCACAACCAAATCTCCATATCTTGAAAAAGCAATAATTTCCGAGACCGATCTTCGTTCACCAGAATTCAACAGACCTTGATGTGTGACTTGAAGTACTTGCCTTGCCATCTGAAGCAGAGCCAAGAACCGGTTTTGAAACCGAAGTGCTTGTTATTCCACCATTGCTCTGAAACGACTTTCTAAACTCCATTTCTTCCTTAATCTTCATCATGATATCCTCACTCTCTTTGGATCTTCTAGTGGACAGCATGTTGTTGCTCCGATCCGTCGAAAAGAATTGACTGCTTGACATGTCGTTGAGCATCTCGGAGTTCAAGAACGTGAGGTCAGAAGAACTCAAATTGCTCCACCTGTTATTAAAGACAAAATCCGATTCAATAATTTTGTGGTTGTGCATATGGAAAACTTTCTGATCTGCTTCTGTTTCTTTTCGGGTCAACAATTCCTCTTCTTTACTATGACCCTTTTCATGAATCTGCCCAAAGCTGCTTCCTTTGCTGAATCTTGAAGACCCTCTATGGCTTTCTTCTATTTCGACAAACAACTCCATGTTGTTTGTGTCTTCTCTCAGCTCTGATTGCTTGTTCCACAAGAATCTCATACTATTTGAATAAGTGATCAGTTTCAAATCCTCAGAGCTCACTTTTTGCCTGCAAAGAGGACAACTAGAGTGCTTCTCAAGCCAATGATCAATGCAGTTAATGTGAAAGGCATGTTTGCATTTTGGAAGCATTCGAAGAACTTCGACATCTTCGAATTTCGATAGACAGACTACACATTCCAGCCCTTCCTTGGAACCCTTCAGAGAGGAGAATCTGAAGAAAGGAAGTGACTCAATGACTGTCCTGTCTATGCCTGAAAATCTGTTGGTTGAGCTAATTAGCCCCGTGTTATTCTGCGGCGGATTTCTATCAGCAGACTCTCTTCTGTAGCAGAATTTTACGAATGCAAGAAGAAGAAAGCTCATCACAGTCGCAAGCAAAATAGCTAAAACTCCTAGAACAACAATAAGGCTTGCTTTATAATTTGGCTTTCTCCGCGAAGGATTCTCCGGATTGATTTCTGTGTCTGCTTCGACACGAAGCGACACCAAAATGAGATGTAAAATGAGAACACTCAACCGATTCATTGGGAAAAAAAAAAAACACTTGACAAGAATTATAAGCACCTATGGAGAATATCTGTTGAGGACAAAAAATGTTTTTGTATATCGTTGGATGAGAACTTATATTTTAGAAACGGATAGTTTAGGCTCTTTTTTCTTTGTTTAATGCATATTGGCCTTTAAGACTTGTTATCCGCAGAAAAGGGTGTTTGTATCATTTTAAGGCTTGCTTGGCTATCTAAATTTGGCAAGTAAATATTTAATTAAATAGATTAGTCAGACAAGTTACAGGAACTTTGGCTTATGGTGGACTTTTCATGGGCAATGATACCTCATAATTGTATTAAAGCTTAAGGATTGACATTATGTATATATGAAATGTAAGATTTGTTCTTGCCATTTGTCATGTTAATTTTAATTTAACAATAAAATTGACCATTAATATTATAGTACTTGTAGCATCCGTATGCAGCAGACAATGAATAAAATAATGAAATTTGGTTATAGAATCTGAGATTTTCACGCTTCACTAGCGCAACTTATCTGGTTATACTCATGCTATATATATATATATATATATATTATATTCTGCTGAATAGTTAAATGAGGTTAGGAGAGTTTTCATTTATGCAATTTGTATAATCAATCTTAGTTACACGGGCAATTTCGCAGGCCCTAAAAGTCGACGGGATTTTGATATATCTAAATAGTCGTGATCGCATATGTCATCATGAGAGTTACTCGGAAAAGGGATGGAAAGATAGGAAAGAGAGACTCAAATTATTTGTCTAAATAACGTGACACAATTCAATTGGTTAGACACCAATTATGACATTAAAATTAGACAAATAATTTGAATTCGAGAAAAACCCTTTTTACTTTAAAATTGTAAATGTTACTAGTTTTGTTAAATTAAAAAAAAAAAAACAAAATATGCATCTTAAAAAAAAATGATTTTTTTTTTCAATACCGTGCATGATTGAACATGCACCCTCCTCCTAAAGGCTAAACCTAGTCTCGTCTCATCTTATATCGTGTCATTTAGCTTAGTGGTCGTTAGCTTGTAAAATTAAACTTTGTTATCTATTGATTGATTTTTATAAAATATTAATTGATCTTGAAAGAGAGAGAGAGGCTTTTTATTTGGTATTCACCATGAATTAACGGTCTTAAGGAGGTTGTATTATTTAATCTGCGTGTGATTTTCGCTACTTCAATTGGGAAGAGAAGAAAAGTGAAGGTATAGATGATGAATTGACGCTACTGGCTTGTCCCTAAAGTTGTCAAAAAGCATAAAAATTTGATCCATTCCCTGAAAAGGCGCAAAGTTTTGGGAAATGATAATAATAATAATAATAATAAGCTGTAGGAAATAGATTCATGGACAAGAAATCCCAAATGGAAGAACTATGAAGTTCCATAACTGGAGAATAATGGAAGAACTATGAAGCACAAATCGGTAAAAAAGTCTTACTTAATATTCAATATAATAATGATAAAAGGAAAAAAGAAGTCAATCTAGTCATGCAATGAGAGGCATATGTTATGTCTGCTGTGTTGCTGCAATATTTTTTCTCATAAAAAAATTTAGATTTTAGTGCAAATTTTTCACTCGAACCCACAAAAAGAAGGGGTACTAACGAGTTTCACATTCGGTATGGGCTGAGAATTTTGATCCGATACATTGAAAACATCGTGAGATATCATAATTTTTTTAATGGAACCAACACAACTCATTATTCATGTAGCTGAGACCTGAAGAGATGGCGATGATTTTTATTTATTTATTTTACAAATATGTTCCATTGCATGAGCAAATAAGCTTTCAACAATAATAATAAAAACAATGTCTACTTAATTTTTCTGCAAAAACAAAAACAAAAACAAAAAACAAAAAAAAAAAAAACAAAATTAACAGTGTAACTTCCATATTAACACCAACATAGAGGACCAAATGTTATTAAGGCAATTCCTATGATGAGAGTTGTAGATGTATCTCTTGATCTTGTGTATTATAACAGTCCTACTTAAAACTTTACAAAATAAGCTTTTGATTCAATACACATAAAAATAAAATTAAAAAAAAAATCAGATTAAAAGCTTTAAATACATCCAACGACTGTGGAGAATAAAGTACTTGATGAAGCAACAATGCTTTATTAGTTATTACTACACATCTAAGGGCTGGCTTTGTGGATTATTTGACGATTGAGACCTTTTCTCTCCATTGGCAAACCATTGAACTGTTCTTCTTGCAATAGGCAACCAAACTCTTCTTATCCTTTCCTCTTTCACATTGTTTTCAGACCAAGAAGATGAATCTGTATTCCTGTTCTTCACACTCAAACTTCCATACCTTGAAAAAGAAGTGATTTCCGACACCGATCTCTGCTCACCAGAGTTCATCATAGACCTCGATGTATGACTTGAAGTACTTGCCCTGCCATCTGAAGTACTAATTCTTCCATCTTTGCTCTCAAACGATTTTTTCATCTCCGTCTCCTTGGCCTTCATGATTTCCTCATTCTCTGCTGCATTTCCGGTAGATGACATGTCGATGTTCCAATCCGTGGAAGAGAATCTACCGCTTGACACCTCGTTGAGCATCTCAGAGTTCAAGAACATGAGGTCGGAAGACCTCAAATTACTCCACCTGTTGTTGAAGACGAAATCCGACGCAAGAATTTTGTGGTTGTGCTTATGCAAAACATTTTGATCTTCTTCGTTTTCTTGTAGGATTAACAATTCCTCTTCTTTATTATGACCCTTTTCATGAATCTTCCTAAAGCTACCTCCTATGCTGAATCTTGAAGACCCTCTATGGCTTCCTTCTCTTTCGACAAACAACTCCTTGTTGTTCGAGTCTTCTCTCCGCTCTGATTGGTTGTTCCACAAGAATCTCATACTATTTGAATAAGTGATCAGTTTCAAATCCTCAGAACTCACTTTGTGCCTGCAAAGAGGACAGCTAGAGTGTTTCTCAAGCCAATGATCAATGCAATTAATGTGAAAGGCATGTCTGCATTTTGGAAGCATTCGAAGAACTTCGATATCTTCGAATTTCGATAGACAGACTACACATTCCAGCCCTTCCTTTGAGCCCTTCAGAGATGAGAATCTAAAGAAAGGAAGTGACTCAATCACCGTCTTGTCTATGCCTGAAAATCTACCGCTTGAGCTAATGAGCCCCGTCCGATTCTGAATCGAATTTCGACCAACAGGCTCTCTGCTGTGGCAGACCTTTGCGTATACAAGAATTAGAAAGGTAAACACAAACATAACACCCAGAATTCCTATAACAACAAGTAAGCTTGGTTGAAAATTATTTGAATTATCTTGTGTAGAAAAATCCGGGCCTATTGTTTGTGCTTCGACATGAAACAGCAGCAAAATGAGATGTAGAACAATTAGCTTTAATCCGTTCATGGAAAAATTGAAAGGTTGAAGATTGACAAGAACTCTATGCATTTTTTGTAAAACTTCTAGAGGGCAAAAGAGTTTTGTAAGTATGTTTTGTTTGGGAACATACATTTCCCAAGAGAGTAGGTTTAGGGATGTTGTTTTTATGCATAATCTTTTTTTTTTTTTTTTTTTTTTTTTTTTTGTCTTGGCAGAAAATTGTGTCCATCTTAGTTGTCAGTTTCTTTCAATTATTTTTAAAGTTTTCTTGGTTATCTTAATTTTGTTAAATCATTTTTTAACTTAGTAGTGATGACAAGGTGGAGCAACTTTGTCATTAGTAAGCGTTTCTTAGGCAATACTACTATATAATATTAATAAAAAAAAATTGAAGGATTTGGCATTACAAGTAACAATTTTTTCTTGGCCGCCATTAATCATTTTATTTTAACAGTGAGGTTGACTATTATGAGGGTGTTCTTTTCATAAATTTAAGTGGAAAACTTAAACTGAAATTTAAATTTTTATAAGAGAAAAATTATAAAAAAAAATGATTAAATTGTGATTCCAACTTGTGAAAAGAAGGCAACCAACGAAACTTTCCATACCCATTCTATATATATATATATATATATATATGGATATATATTGGATATCATCCATCACGGGTAGCATTGCCTCACAATAAATATTAGTTTGACCCTACTGATCAAGTGAAATTACGTTATTAATTCCTACTGATTAAGTGAATTTCCGTCATTAATTTTGTCTTTTAACTATTTTTTACCTTTTCATCTACAACTGTTAGATTACTTTTAAACTGTAGTATTGAACAAAATTGGTAGAAGATTATGAGAATTTTATTGATAACGATTAAATGGTGATCCCCATTCATGGTGTATGTTTTTGAGCACTACATGTAATCAAAATTACTTCTAAAAAGAAATCACATCAAGATAATATGTTTTTAAAATTAAAATTTTTTATATAGATATAAAGGTCAAAATTAAACTCTACTGATAGAGTATTTTTACATTAAAATTGTCATGAGCCCAAGTGTTAGTTGTAATGAGCAATTTCAGCCGCTTGAAAAGTCAACAGAGTTTTATCTGGTTCTGTTATGTATTCCTAATGCTTATCTCACCGCATAGGCCATCATGAAAGTTACTCGACCAAAAATTTGAAAATAATAATAATAATAATAATAATAATAATGATGATAATGATAATGATAATAGTAGTTGTAATAATAATAAAAATATTATTATTAAAAGACTGTTTCTAGTAGGTCGTCCTACTATTAGAATAAATTTTATGATCGTTGAATCTGATTAAAATAAAATGAGATTAAATAAGTATACATAACATACATTTTTTAATCTAACAGCTAAAAACGGTTGAAAAAAATAAAACTATCGGTAGTTTTATTTTCTAATCCTACTAGAGAAGCTCTCTATTGTTAATAATAAAAGAGAAAACATTTATTAGTGAACACTAGCATTATGTTGGCTAAGAGAATGTTAAATAACTATTGGCTAAAAGAATGTTAAATAAAGATATTCTGTCAACACTAGATGTTTGTTTATGAGAAAAAGAGATGGCTGGCATGGATGCTAAAGTCATTGACATATCGATGACGTGTTGTAATAAAGCGCAACTTTTTTCATCACCATTTAAAAAAAAATAATATTAGAGATATCGATGATATTGAGCACCATACACTAATAAATAAAAAATTCCACGGTTGTATTTCTCAGCACCCATGGTATCTAAGTATTTTTCTTTGAAAAAACAGTCTGTATGACAAATACTAATGTAACAAATCCGGCAGCATATCTAGGAATTGCACATGGAGGGATGATGAAACCCTAAGTAATAGTCAATCTTACTGAAGAATTGCATAAGCATGATGAAAATTACATGCGTGCCCAAATAGGGTGTTATTGGTCTACGTTATGTGGCTTTTTTACAGTCCATATATGTACACAGATAGATATATGTAATGATTTAAGTAGTTGACCAAACATTAACAAAGTATAGAACTTCTTCTCAGATAATCACAAGAATGAAAAATGACCTCAATAGGGGAGCATCACAAAGTTCACATGCCAATAATGCAACCCACTTCAATTCTTTTGGTAGTATGACAGGATAGTTGGAGTCAAATTTTTCCATCTAGAAATATATATATATATATAAAATATATATAAAGGGGGCAAAATTTGTTGGGTTATGTTTCTTTTAGTTGTTGTAGACCAAGCTCAAGTTTATAATTTAACTTTTGCATGGACGATATTCGTTGTTCAGTTTTTCTCCCTCACTCAAAGTTACATTTTGGTACAACATGAGATTATAAATCAAACAATTTACCTAGGTTTTTATTTTTCTATCCCATGCCTTTCTTAAATCGTTAATTGTCATGATTACTACCTTTCTTACTCAATTTCTCGGGATTAATAATTATTATGCCAAGGTGCCAACCGTCATTAAAATTAGCATACATCAAATTTTGCACTGTCTCTTCAGATGAAACCGCTTGGATATTTACTGAGTTGAAAAAAATAATAGTAATTTTACTTTTATCACCCAATTTTTAATCTTTTTTCACGTTGCCCCTAGTCCACCATGTCAGTAAATCCATTCAGAAAGAGCACAACGAATAATGTTTCAAAATTCAAGAGGTATTCAGATCAATTTTAAAAGTTCGGATACGAAACAAGAGTAACCAAAATTTAAGAGAAAAATATATTTATCCAAAAGAAATGTTACGGTTATGATTACACTACCAAGTCGGTTTGGCTTAATTTAGATTTAGAAGCATTTGACATTTGAGAGTGTCAAAGGAAAGGTTAAATTTAGAGGAATGCCTCTATAGTAAGGGTATTAAAAGATTAATGCCCCTAAGAGGAATGCCTATCTAGTAAGGGTGTGTAAGGATTTATACCTGCACAAAACTTTGGAGGGCTCAAAACTATGGAGGTCAATTAAGAGGGTACATTCACTAATTTTCTTTTAATTTGATAACCTATTCGCGGTTTTTTTTTTTTTTTT